AATCGAACCCACATGTTCGGGATTCGTGCCTTGACTCTCTAGCCACTAAGCCACGGCTGATTGCTACACCGATGAAATTCTCGTAGAAGGCGTTGAGTTTCTAAAAAAAATTAATTCTAATTATTTATTAACTATGTTTTTCATCAGTTCTTGATTTACATCGGATATTGTGGATATTGCCCATGCTGTCTACGTCATATTTGTACCGATAGATTTACAAGAAAATATATTTCTATGGTCTTTTCCGGTCAGATTTCCATATCCCTACGAGTTAGCCCTGATTTTATATAACAGTTATCTTTCAAAGGCCAAACGTACGTCGTTATGACCCATTATTTATTTCCAATTATAATAAAGGTTATTCAAATGACAAGAACATCTGTTTATGGTAAAGTTCGCCAATTATGATAAACAAGTTTATAATAGGAACCGTTTAAAGACATTCTAATACTGTGTTGATTTACTAGAGCTAAATATGAAAATAATTATTCCTGCACGCGACTCTTTACAACTTTTCCCTACTTAAGAGAAGTTTTCATAGAGGAAGTTTAAATATAAAGTAAACACAAAAGAACACTTGGCGTTAATTGTCTGCTTTTTTAAAATACTGTTAGTTTCCTAATTTTGTCATATTAGCCCTTAAGTAAACCTTAAGAATATGTCTATGAGCGGTAAACACTGGATATCAGATAACCAAGAAGATCGATAGGCATTTACTGTCTTGATAAAAAAAAATTATGAGCTTGCATAAACGCTAGTACCTATATTGTTACCACTAAACTTTACACAGTCTGAATCTCTGGACGCGAAAACACTATCCTGTAATCTTGTAGTCTACATAATCTTTATTATAAATGCATCACAACTAGTGTAAATTAGTCATTTGACATTTTTCTATGTTGTCATACTTCATTTATATTCTAAACGCGGTGGTGCTCGCGCAAGTAACTTTGTAATTCGTAATGTTAAACGTCGACTCCGTAATAAAACTCCTTTTTTGTCTTCCGATGAATAAGGCGCTTACAACGCGGTATTTCCGACATTGAGCGCGGACGTCAATAATATGATTTTGATTGTCTTGTCCTCGTATCTCTGCATTATAGCATTTAGGCAGTTAAGTTAAAGTTAGATAGTACATTGGAACGGAGTTCTTTAAAGCCATTTGCGGGGGGTGAGAGTGGAATCTTCAGTTGTTACGCAATTAAATTGCGTTATGCATGCCTCCTCTATTTTCCTCCTAGCGGCTCTCCTTCGCTGTCTTCTTACAACACACGCTGCTTAGTTGACGCCACTAATAAGCTCAAGAGTCACACAACGAGCTATGAAGAGAGCTATGCTTGGAGTTTCATTGCGCGACAAAATCCGGAACGAGGAAACTCGCCGAAGAACCGGAGTCAACGACATAGCTCTCCGGATTTTTAAAACACTGCTGATGATGACGATGATGATAATTGCGCCTGCGCACGTACGTGGCTAGGTTACTTAATTCTCTTCTTCGTCTTCGTGTCGATGGCAATACCTATTTACACGATATTGGCCCAAAATTCAGCCCCATGAATTGCATTGTCAGTAGCATTCATTAGATCCTCCTGCGTGCAGTCGGTTAGGCACGCAGGGCACGACGTCAAATGTTCCATGGTTACTTAATTAAACTACTACATTCATCGTTATATTCCTGAGAAATATTTGCCCGGTCGATAATAAAAGCGTCGCCTGTACTGTTGCTATCCGCATAGCTAATATGGAACAAGTTATTGAAATTCAGAGAAAACAGTGCGCAACCAAGCTCGTTAATGATCCTGTGGGATCATTAACGAGTTCCACGCTCCGATCCGTGAGAAAACTTTTGGCTGTGTCCAAACTAACAGCCAATGCCTTCCCCTTAGTTCAACTGCCTCTACCCATCGATGAATTACATACACCAGAGGATCACCTACTGAGCGACTTTGATGGAAACGCACCAATGCCGTTCCCTTAGTCTGCTTATCGAGGAGTTAGACCCACCAGAAGATCACCAATTAAGCGCGTATGACAGTAACCATACTGGCGATCACTAATCGGCTGATGCTGCTCAAATCATCCAGTGAGAATCAAACTTAGCCCAAGGGATGAGATGCAAAGAAAGAGATAGTGTAGAACAGCGGTGCACGAATGGGCAGGTCCGTCCGGGCTAGTACCGCGACCTCACAGAGGACCGGCGTAAAGTAGAAGTGTTGCACTTCTGCGTTTCGTCTGGTGAGCGAGGTAGCCGGGGCCCACATTATTAACAGGTGACAACGCATCTGCTACGGGTTATGCAAATGCCATGGGCAGGCGGTTATCGCTTAACATGAGGTGAACCGCCAGCTCGTTTGCCACTTCCTCACACAAAAAAAGACCGTACCTCTTCCCACTTCAATGACCTGTAGTGCCACACAAGGCGGAAAGAACGCGCAACGGCAGAACCCACGGGATGTGGGCTCATACTAGATACTAAGCTACGGAACAAACACTGGCGAGCCTCGTGGGTGACGGAGACCTGATAGTTGTCCGGATGGGTCAATAGAAGATCCAACAGAGAAAGTAAATAATCTAACACGTCTGGAGTCTGCGTAGTCCAGTCACAAACTAAGCAACTTACTACTATGGATATTAAATAAGTGACAAACATACTTAAACGTACTTTTTTTTGTAAATAAATACATCCGGACACTGGAAAAACATTATGCTCATAAAACAATATTTTTCCAGTAGTGGGGATCGAATCGCGTCTCTGCCTCTTCCACTGCCCATTAAAACAAATGCTGTATTGGGGATCGAACCCACACCTTCTAGCGCAAGAGGGTCACTACTGTAACGGGTGATTTCATCACTTTGTCTAAATTGTTGTTCTGAATACTAGGCTGCATGTTATATGAACCTTTGCCTGTTCGAAAGGACGAATGTAAAAGTTAAGTTCATTTGTTACTTCTTGTCATTTGAGACTGGCGCCGGTTCGAATTGACATTGGATAAATTAGTTTTTGTGGATCCATTGTCTTCGACTGTGCATGGAGGTTAAAATCAGAAACGTTCCTGGTCGTATTATCTGAGTGATTCCTGTCTGGGAAGACTCTGTGCTGGACTTGTTGTCGCTCGTGATGGATGCTGAAGGCATAGGTGGCTGGCAAGCTGGTCTGAGCTGCTGCTCGATTAAATAGTGTTTTTTACCTCCAGTTGGAGATCTCCTACCATACCCCCCAACAGTGTGCCTGTACACACTACACTTGGCCTGATTTTCTCTGCTGCTTCTGAGCTGAACGCTGACCTGTGCCCACAGGGCAGGTGTCTCTGCGGTAACATCGATTTAAAATAACCTCCTGATTGGACTTTGTACTTAAATTGAATTGCATAACTTTTACAATCTCAAATTAATTCAATAATCTAACCTTTTTATGGTCACACAAAGGTCCTATGTACTCACGACTCTCTGAGATACATAGTTGTAATTATTACAACAGTCTGTACCTAACAGACAAGGCGCCCAAATTATTATTATGATTCCATATTTTGTACACTATTGTATCTGAGCTAGTCCAGGGATTGTAACTATGAACTGGAGGGTAAAATGCAACATCTTAACAGGACTATATCTTTTATTAAATCAATACCCCTTAATTAACCATCTTCATAAATCAAAACGTTACACTACTCATTAGGCCAATAGTCAATATGCCACAATTTGCCATTGTGAAATCGTGTACAGATCCCCACATGATCGGTGATACGTAGCCTCTGTACAAAGGAGGCATTTGCCCAGCAGTGGGATATTTATAAGATGTTATGGGAAACGTACCTATGATTTGCCTCATAGACCACAAAACTACATCGCTATGTAATAGCGGGGGAGGCCTGTGTTCAGTAGTGGATTCAAACAGGCTGTAATAGTCCCTTTAAACTTAACATTTCCATTTTCCATTCGAATAAAAAGGGGCAGTGGGAATCAATTAAATAAATAAAAGCGAATTAAAAAAAGTTTCATTTATTAACTAAAAAATGAATTTCTGCACTACATTATAATATTTAGTATTAATAATCTATCTTTTTATTATTTTTTTTATATAAATGGCACGTGGAAGATACAATTATAGATATTTACATTGTTAAAGTGACCAGTCTTGTCCTTTTATTACTGCTTACATAATGTTCTGGAATTTATCAAGTTTGCATCAAAAGTCTAACTTTCAAACACAATATACAGCGTTTCGTTACCATCGCGACAATAAATGAACACACGTCTAACGCTACTTGCCAATAATCATAAAAAACATTAACGTTAAACAAAATCCATAATTAAAAAAAATTTTTTTCAAGCAAACTAATTAAGTAAAAAAGAAACAAAATTTGTAACATCCTATACAACTACAACTGATTGATTCATACATTCAGAGACTTTTTCATTTGTTGCCACAGCGCAGCTTTACAAGCTTCTCCTTCTAACAATATGTTTTGTCTCTTTTAAATTCATTCAACCCATTCATATGCTTTGTGACCTTTACAAATGAACTTTACGTTACAGTTTTATACGTAAGAGTGTTCTAAAATTGTTTGTTTTGGAAAATTTAATAACTCTGTAAATATTGATGTTTAAAGAATGTAAATGTATAATACAATTTTTAAAGTTATCCTCTATATGTGTGTTCATTTATTGTCACGATTGTAAAGACACGCTGTATACTAATTTAGATGCATTAATTTATCCCTTTTAAGATTCAGCGAAATATCGTAACATAATTAATTTTCAAAATTGTATATTTTCAAGTCGCCTTTTCCATAATATTCTCTATCATAACATTTCTTAATGTTTTCTTATAAACTTTTTCTTACTTATTAAAATCTGTTTCAACGGCCTAATATTTATGTTTCTCTCCATTAACATTTTCATATTTAAGAACGTCTGTTTCAACCAGTAGTGGAGCCAACTTGAGCGCTGGAGTTGCACTTAACGTTGGCATCGTCGCCTTCTGGGCCCAGGGGGGGTCAGGAGGCGCAGGCCATCGGCGGCGGTGGTGGTGGTGGGTGCGGTGGTGCGGTGGGGGCGAGCTGGCGCAGCGTGCGGCGGCACGAGAGGTGGCGCCGCCCCAGACGCGGCCAGCCCGGCACCCGCTCCACGCGCACCGGCGCCGCCCGCCTGCGGACCGAGCATCGAGCGCCACGCTCAGCCGAGCCGAGCGCCACGCTCAGCCGAGCCGACCGCCCCGCTCATCGCGGTCGGCCCGAGCGCTCAGTCGGACCGAGCGCCGGCGCCACGCTTACCGTGGACGCGAGCGCTCGACGCACTCGAAGTCGAGCGCTCGGGCCGTCCACCGCGACGGCTCCGAACGGCTCCTAGCCCGAACTGAGCGTCCTTTCGTGGCGACGGACGCAACGGAGCGTTCGAGACAACAACAACAACAACAACATCAGCCTAACGTCGTCCACTGATGAACGCAAGCCTCCAAAGTGCGCCAACTATCCACCACCTGGCGTTCGGGACAGCGTTCCGTTTCCCATTCTAAATTCTTAAGCTAACCTGGCAGCTGGAAAAACGGACCAAAACGGTGCTGGTATGTGTTAAGTGAGTTTGGAACTGGCAACACTCGAAGAAGAAAGAACGCGTTCACACGCAACACAGCGTTCCGTTTCTCATTCAACCTGTACAGTAGATCATTCTGCTGTGTTGTATTTGAGTCGGAAAAGACGCGATACCTAGACGTAGTAAAGTCGCTCATTGGAAAAAGCCATTAAGACCGTCGACGAAAAAAACACGTAGAACGGAACGATGAAGTGTGAGAATCAAACCCGCGACCCCCGACGCTGAAGCCTTGGCGACTGCGCCACGGAGTCATCATGCTCGGGTCGAGCAGATTAGGTACCGGCTGCTAGTTTTGTAACGCCATCGCGCGAAGATCCGCTTTTGTGATGGCTGCATCTGACAGTCATCTGACTGCCTTCCCTTCTTTTCGAACACGGTTTTTTCCTTCTTTACACACAACTGGAAGAAGGAAGAAGAGGGACACTCCGCCCAGGCTGGACTAAGCTATTGTTGGGGAACCATGGCCCTATGGAGGAGTGGACGTACTGGGAAACCATGGTCCAATGGTGGAGTGGACGTCCTGACTCGTCACGATTCCGGCAGACCCGGTACCGACCCCACAGCATCCACACAGACCTAGCGGCAAAGGATATCGAAGACGTCCAATGGTCGAATGGTCCTGTCGAACCCAATGTTACCTAAAGAATATGTGGAACTCGACGCAGCACCGCCACAGCTTCTTGCAGCCGCGCGACGAGCAGAGCCGGAAGCCGAGGCTAGTCTCGTGCTCCTCGCACTCGGCCGGCCGCAGCCGCAGCGAGAAGGAGCGCTTCTTGTAGCTGATCTTCGTGATCATCGTCCACGGGAAGCGGTTCATCGGCACCCTGCAGTAGACGGAGGGTCTTTCGATCCTTTGCTTCATGTCGACGATAACTGCTTACAGATACTTCATTGATAGCTTCATACTTCAGATGCCATTCATTGTGTTCTCGTCTCATTAAGGCGTCAACCCCGTCACCTGTCACGCTGAGACTCGACAAATTGGATAACTTTACCTATCTATCAGTCGGGGATTATTAATGTCGTTATCATCTGCCTGCCCTTAACCCGCTTATGATGTTCTTAGTGAAGTTAGTTGGTGGTCATGATTTTACCTGCGTTATAATAGAACCTAGTGGTGATGGTGTCAATGATGTGTAGCGGTGACGGTGGTGATGGGTTCGTTGGTGCGTAGTGGCATCGGTGACCTCCTCGCGAATAAACTGACGAGAGCATTGTAAATGTTTATACTTAATCTGCAAGAGCGAGCAGGTGTTTGTGATGGTACTACCATGTGTGTGGGTGATGGACTCGATGGTGTGAAGGTGTCTTTACCAATAAATTTCTCGCGGACAAACACCCGGACGCGAAACAACTATCTGGGGGTGTCACAAATAGTTGTCCCGTGTGAATCGAACCCACGACCCCGAAGAGAGCCAATAGCTTGGCAACTGCGCCACGGAGTAACCTGTCACCGGCGGCGGATTTGTAGTCTTGGCCGCCCTAGGCCCCAGCCCATATAGTAAGTTCCAGCTGCCCCTTTCTCGGAGCTCAACATATATCTTGTCACCATCAGCGATTTTTCGTCATCATCGGTGATCTCACCCGTCCCTGAGGATGGTGACCCCTCGGGAGGAGACCGCCAGCGCGATGTCCACATCATCAGAGTCCTTGGCCGAATGGAGTTCGGCGCCGTACAGCAACAGCTTCTTGGCGTTCTCCAGGTAGCTCAGCTCCGCTTCGGCTGGCGTTTGGCCCCTGGAAAGAGTGTCTAGATTCATGGGAAATCTCGAACGGTGATGGGTATTATAACAATTGGAGGGTAGTTTATAAATATTTGAATTTATCTATCCAAAGATTCTCAGCTAAAAAGTTAATGATTAAAGCATGTTTCTAAGACTAAGACACGACTAATAATAGATCTAAATTAATTGTGTATTGTTGCAGTAGTTTTAAACAAATCCGTTTGCTAGCCAAAAATATTTTAACAAGTTTAATCAGCTAGTGTAAATCGTAATTGTTATAAATAGAGAAGAAAACGAAACTTTTGTACTTTATCCATGCAGATATATCCATGATTTATTTATACATAAGTTTCGGTTCGTTCCCTCCAAAATATGTTTCATCAACCACGAATGTGCCTCGGACCGTCGGATCAACTTGCAGACCTTTGGTAGATCCAACGGGATTTAGACCTACCTGTGCTTCCCGTACAGCTCGTCGACCTGGTCCTCCAGGTCCAAGGCCAGGGTCTGGGGCAGAACCGTCAGGAGGGCCAGTCTCGCCCCGTCCACTCGCGTTTCGCGATCTCCCAACTCCGCCTGGAGTATGTACGACGCCAGCAGGGCGTGCGTGATTTGCGAGCATGCCAATCGGCCTGCGAAACAATCCTTAATGTGGACTTTTTAGGGTTCCGTACCCAAAGTGTATAACGGAACCCTATTACTAAGACTCCGCTGTCCACCTGTCCGTCTGTCACCAGGCCGTATCTCATGAACCGTGATAGTTAAACATTTCAAAATTTTCACAGCTGATGTAATTCTGTTACACAAAAATGGGGCTTTCTGTTTAAGTGGGGGCTAAATGCTAATGGTACGGAAACAATCATGCGCGAGTCCGACTCGCACTTGGCCGGTTTTTAAATAATAATTTGGCAAACGAGCGTCGGTTCGCCTGATGCATTACCGCAGTTCATCTACAGCAACTCAGGTTGCGAATCCGTTGCCGTTATTCAAAAAGTTGACCCCGGTTATCTCACTTACCAAACGAAACGCAAAACTATAACACATACTTCAATTCACGTCTTCTGGGAGCTGCTCTGACGAACCCGCCCATTCGTGCAACAGTCTTAGGTGCTGCGTGGCAGTACCTTGAATCCTGTATTTTCTTCTATCGAATTAGACTAACTTACACTGGCTGGCTAAATCACCCTTGAAGAATATGATGATTCTGCGACGCAGTCGCCAAAGTTTTGACTTCGGCGTTGGAAGTCGTGGGTTCTATTCCCACACGGGACAACGATTTGTGTGACGCACAGATACTTGTTTCGCATCCGGGTGTATTTCCAAGTGAAATTTAGTCTCTAGTCTTCAACCGCTGTCTCCCTGAAGAGCCTGAAAAGAGACGGTACCAAGTGTTCAGTGGTCACCTTCTAGCAGATCCCTGCGCACCGCGAGCGCCAGTTGGTATCGGGTGTTATCATCGCGCAGCCCCGATGGCTCTGGCGGGTAGAACTTCACCGCGAAACGCACCTCCCACGGATCGTCTGCAGCAGACGAAATAGACCAGGCTAGCGTTGGTGTTGTGTTCCTTTACGGAATGGTAAAGTACTTTACAAGTCTAACGTCCGCTTTCTGAAACACTTCTCATCGTAGATGTCAACTAATCACCTGTCAGATGGCTTTTCAAATTTCATTTTAGTTGCAAAAGGATGGTAAAACTCTCCGAATTCACCAGAATGATCTCCTTATTGATCAGAATGATCAATTCAACCATCCTTTTGGCAACTCAAATGACATTTGAGTTGGCTTTTCAGCCATTTGACAGCTGATTAGTTAACAGTGGATACTAAATGAAGAGGTTGTAACGGCGTACGCAGAACATTTACATCTTCAACCATAGCCTCAGTACTCACTTCTGAATGTCTTCGATAGTCGCCTCTCCAGGTTCATCCAGGAGCGGGTGTCACCGCGGCAAGTATACAGCAGACCGAAGTAGTCGACTTCGGTTATTTCCAGGTCTATGCACACCTTGTCCAGAAGGTCGCCGCCACGCGCCTTACGCTGGAAAATGAACCCGACTTCGTTTCTTACTACAATAGTTCATAACCACACGCCTCTCTCACTATCTTTCTCCAGCTAAAAATCATATTACTTTGATGCTAAAACTCTATTGCGAAATTTCTAATCTAGGATGGTTATTGAGCAAACAAAGCGAAAAGAAAATAAAATTATGAACTGTTTGTACATGAATTGATGAAAAGTGTTTTTCAATTTGTCTACAAAAATGCTGTTAAGTATACACAATAGATGGCGCCAAGCAATGCCTAATACAAGCTCGTAAGTTTATGGGCCGCTTAGCTTCTTTCGTAAGAGCGTTCGGGCGACTCGGAAAACGTAGGTTCGAATCCCGTACCGCTGTAAAAAATAATTAATTCCGTAATTTCTCTTCAAGAAACTCACATTTTAGGTTTAATCCTGAGCGCAGACTAGCATTAAAAATAAATATAATCCGAAAGGGGAACGTTTAAATCAAATGTTCTAAAAGTACTGATATCACACATGCGAGTCGAGTGTGTTATAAAACATGTTCTAGGGGTTAATTATAAGTATTTTGAAAGATTTAAATCGGAATTTATGTAATCATTCCTGTCATTAACTTCTCACTCTTAAACATATTTTGTCTACGTCCGTAATGTATAATATGATTGTTTAAACTTCATTAATTTTAATTTTTCTTTTTATTTGGCGTAGCTTACTCTGATTATGGGGCAGAAATTATAGCTTTAAATTTATCAGAATCAACGTTTTATATCCTAAGTAGTGTTAACAGATAAATAAACTATCTAATGAAATTCACAACATGGTACTAGAAAGGTTACCTGCATTTCCTCACTGAATTGTTAAGTAATAAGTTCCAACGTCTTTTAATCCTACTTTAGTCGTTACTGAAAATAAGTGTTGCAGTTTTTACCTCAATATTATGTTGAGTATTGTCCTTTTTATATAAACTGCGACGTGTAGTCGACGTGTATTTGTGTCGAATATATTTCTTTCTTTTATCATTTTGACCAGATCCAAAGCATATTTTACCGAGCTGATTCTAGTCACCGCGCGAAAAGTGTGTGTTGCCACATTTGCGTTATTCTGATTTCTCGGCGGTATGTTCTACTTACGTCTACATCCACGCTGATATAATCTCCGTCTAGCAGCTCGACTCGCACCCTCCTGGTGTTACCACGTCTCGACTCCATGCCGTCTTCGGAGGCGGAGCCGGCCAAGCGGCGGAGGCTCTCGCGCATTATAGCACCTAGAAACATTTTTGAGCGTGAAAATTTCTAGATATTTTTTAAGTTATCTACTTTGGGCGCGTACTGACTCTGAAAAAGCGATATTATGCTTAGTAACCAATTTAATTTTGGCAACCAATAATTTTTAATCATCTACCCATAATTTATAAATAAACAACATATAAGTTATATAAATAAACTCAATGATATTGCATACAAATACGAGGTAGATAGACACTAGCGCACCGAAACTGAAGCACTCAAATTACGCAAATTGGTGTAATTAGATTGCAAGTCTATATACTGCTATCACTTTCCGTATCATAGGTTCTATATCATCTATCACATTCACTTCTATAATATGTCAAATAATGTAAAGTGTAATGTAGAACGCATTTTTAAATACCACGCAGTATGGACATGCGTCATCTTTATTGAAACATCATTGACTAAACAGTTATTGCATTTAATGTATTAACGCTAAAGAAATAAGAGTATATTCTTAAATGCGTACATAAGTACACACTTCCATTTTTTTATTCAACTCCACGGTACAAACTCCATGTTCAAGTCCTTTTTTAATTTATTATAAGTAAATGACACAATATTGGTCGGAGTTTATAGTTTTATTATTAAATATCAGTACCAGCATCCCAATATTTTTGACCCAATTATCTTTTCATGTTATGATTTTTTTTTCCAATTCACCCATAAATCTATTCTGATCAAGTCATTTCTAATTTTGGGCGTAGCATAGTAGTAACATCTGTTCTGTACTTGATATAACCCCAGTTTATTACCCATTTCGGTACAGATTTGTTTTGTAAATATTAAGAGAATGCATAAAAGAAGGTAAATAAATGGATAAAGAAAATAGATGGCGGTAAATTGGCGCGATGTCAATAAGGTTTATATAATTTATTAGTTAAAACTGATCGTAAACCAGTATAGTTATCTTGTATTCTGGATTAAACAGAGACTGGCTGTTTAATTTCGAAAGAGCACGCGTGTAATGACAATGTTACAAAGGATATTACAATAAAGACAAAGGATATTTAGTGTCTCAAAACTTTTTTGTAAATAAGTTCTCCTCATTTTAGTTCCTCTTAGTTTTTCATCATTTTTAGGGTTCCGTACCCAAAGGGTAAAACGAGACCCTATTACTAAGACTCCGCCGCCTGTCTGTCTGTCTGTCCGTCTGTCACCAGGCTGTATCTCATGAACCGTGATAGCTAGACAGTTGAATTTCACAGATAATGTATTTCTGTTTCCGCTATAACAACAAATACTAAAAAACAGAATAAAAAAGTATTTAAGTGCGGCTCCCATACAACAGACATGATTTTTTTTTACCGTTTTTATAGACAGTGTTACGGAACCCATAGTGCGCGAGTCCGAGTTGCACGTGGCCGGTTTTTTAATAATAAATATGGGGTATAACGCTATAACACCATCTACCGTTTACTTTGCTAGCTATCTTACAAACCATGTGTACAACAGCTGAGTTTCAGAATGCACCGAATTGGACTATCAACCTAGACCCCATCAAACGTTTAATAGGGCACGAAACTTACGCAAGCTGGCACCGAGCCCGTACGCTTTCAAAGCCTTACCACCAGTACTCACTCTAAACTCGTTTAGTTTTCGTCTTTGATCGAAAACTTTTCGACTTTATTAGCCTAAAAGACATTTAAAGGTGAATGTGGCAGATGATATAGAACGTATGATACGAAAATGGCAGGGCAACGCAGTGTTCGCTGTTGCACGAATGCGCAGGTCCATCCGGATAAGTACCACCACCTCACAGAAGAGCGGCGTGAAGTAGAAGTGTTACACTTCTGCGTTTCGTCTCCTGCCCTTTACCCATCTACGAGTAGATGGGGTCAGCACAGCATGTGAATGATGCTGTAAGCGGTTTTGACTACATCTTTACCTCAACCCATATCCGGAAAACTTGCGTGGGTCAAATATCAGTTTAGTGTATATTAGACATATGTTATAAAACAGTTTTTACTGACTATAACACAACAATGACTCAATAATTGGATAACAATAATGCTTAGCTTTCCCAACAGAGATTATTGGAGACAAGTTATAAAACACAGCTTTTACCGATTTATACAGCTATAACTCAACGATGACTCAATAATTGGATAACAACAGTACTTAGTTTTTCCAACAGAGCAACAGCCTTAACTTACAGCCTTAGCCTTAACTACCAAAAACTAACCCGCGTACGTCGTGAGACTTGAATTTATACCCCTCAAAAACCAATACAAACTACCCCCCCCCCCCCCCCCCCATTAGAATGGGTGTAGGAAATATCACGACGCAATAGGTTTCAAACCAACAACTTTTAATTAAGTCGCAACAAACTGTACTAATAAATTATTAATTATATTAAATACGTGCTACAATTATAACATGCAAGTCATTTTCGTTGCGTTCGCTATTCGAAAACGCGTCGAGTTACAACAGTAGGCCGATCGTTTATACACGAAACCGATCACTTCACTCGTACAATCTTCATTCGCAGGGTTATTTTGGCAAAACGCTACGGACAGCTCTCAGTTTATTGCCAACCAATATCCGAACGCAAGAAGCTCGCTTTTGCTTACTTCGTTTCTACGTACTGTTGATATTGTGTACTGAAATCAGCATTGGTCCACGGCAAAATACATTGCGTAATTTCAGATCAAATTGTTGTCTAAGAAATGTGACCAGCTCGCTTGTCACCTTCGCACATGAAAAAAAAAAGAATACTATACATCGAAAAATTAAACTAAATAATGCATTTTTCGCGTTAAAATTACACTTTCCGTTTACGAGAGTCAAACACCTTACGTCTATTATATTGCTGTCATATGTTAGTGCTATCACACTGTTGTTGCTGTTAGTTCATTCTCCGTTAACCGGGCCGAAGTAAATAGTCAAAAAATTAGGTAGCCCGGCTCGATTATGATGACGTCAGGGCGAAAAGCACCTCACTCTTCCGTGCCTATGAACGTTGTAGTATTCGGAACATCGCGAAGTATATTTTTTTTTATTTGTGTAAGTGGCAAACAAGCTGGCATTTCGTCTGATGTTAAGTGATACGAGTACCGCCGCCCGTGGACATTTGACGACCCGAATGGCGTTGTAGGTAGTGTACCTGCCTCCTGCGCCAGAGGGTGTGGGTTCTATCCCCACTACTGGATAAATATTGTGTGATGAACATAGTATTTTTTGTTTTTCTAGTGTCTGGGTGTTTATATATGTAAAATATGTATTTATTTACAAAAGAAAAGTATGATTAAGTATGTTTATCAGTTTTCTGGTACCCATAGTACAAGCTTTGCTTAGTTTGGGACTAGAGAATGTTGTGTAAAAATGTGTCCTAAAAATATTTATTTATTTATTTGCAACACCCACAGATACTGGTTGCAGATGCGTTGCCACCTTTTAATAAAGTGGGCCTTGGTTTAGCCGGACTGAACTGAATCACCAGACGAAACGCAGAAGTGTAACAGTTCCACTTCACGCAGGTCTTCTGTGAGCTCGTGGCACTAACCCGGACGGACCTGCCCATTAGTGCAACAGCGAACACTGGCCTGGCCCCACCATTTCCCTACCCTAATTCACGACGCGTAAAATGGAATAAAATTCAACAAATTATTACATTTTTCAGTGTTTCATTAAAACATTAATCTTTGCAGCGACTGTAACTTCTTGTCTTTACGCGTAATATGATTTTCTTTCGTTTTACAATTTATACGCGGATATTATAACATCATTAGGGAATTATCTATAATTATATTTTTTATGCAAAAGCTATATCCATCTATCTACGGTAGGTATAGAATTGTTGGGACTTAAACTAGTTTTAACGATAATAATTGAAGGCCGAAATCTACCATTGGTTTTCTAAACACCAGTTCAGGCTATTTTATTATATTAAGATCGGGCCGGGGTACCCCAAGGCCATGGGCAAAACCTTTGTCCGTTCAGCCCTTGAATAGTTCCCTTTCTATGTAGACAGAAATAATTATGCTTTGCATGCCCAATTGTCAGATCAAATATGGGTCGAAGTATGTGCTGTGTTCAATTGAATGCATAAATAAAATCCGTTCCAAAAGGCGCGTTGTTTCTTGCTTCAGAATCCACTCATAATATTGTATTATTAGGTTTTATTCAAGGGGACAAATATAGATGTTTAGGGTTATTGATTTTCATACAAACCCGAGTTAGTAAGTTTGTGCATTTCTCTTTCTGACGGGAGTCGAGGTCGGAAACTAGAACTTGAAAAAGCTTAAAGTATTCTCATCAGAATAAACTTGTTGTAACAATGAAGAAGTCGTGTATGTTTTCTTTTTCCTTTATATCGGTAAATTTCCCCTGTTTTATAAGGACTAGGACGAATCGTAAAGGCAAAGTCCACCTGGACAAAGACCCAAATCCTCAACAGTTATGTGTGTCACACTAATTCCCGTGTGGGAATCGAACCCACGACCCACAGAGACGGAGGCAACATCTGAGCAGCTGCTCCAAAACAGTCAACATTATATAGGCATCCAGCTTTCGGTCAGGTTTCGATTCGTGTAACTAAGCTATACGCGTCAGTACAAAACACCTATGGGGTGTATAAATATTGGAATACTTAAAGTGTCAGGAAATATACTGGTATAAAGATGACGTCACTGTTCTTAATTATCTCACTAATCAGCTAAATGCCAAAGCCTGCGCGTGTTTTCCCTTCGCTCTCAAGGACCTAACGGATTTTAATGTTTGGAACGGAGATAGCTGGCACGCTTGATTAAAATGTGATAATTATTACCTTTTTTTATGTGAAAAGTTGCCAAACGAGCAGACGGTTCACTGATGTTAAGTGAATACCGCCGCCCATGGACATCTGCTATACCCGAGGGTTTGTAGATGCGTTGACAACCTTTTCGGAAATTGGGCTCCGGCTACCTCACTCATCGGACGAAACGCGAAAGTATTTGTCATACTTCCACTTAACGCTGGTCTTCTGTGAGTTCGTGGTACTTACCCGGATGAGCCTGCGCATTCGTGCAACAGCCGAGGCTGCTGCGTGGCTCTACCACCGTTAACCTTATTATTAAATAAACGTTTCATGAAAAAACTCGCAGAAAAAATCGCAATTAAAGCTATTTCTTTATAAAATATTATTGTGACCAGTTAGAAAGGCATTTAAAAAATCCCACTCTTATGAACTTAAATCGGTCATATCACTTCGCCTGTAAATTCTACTTCGCGAACCGCAAAGTAATAGATAAATTAAAATCACTTACTCATATCTCTTTCACAATGTATCGTTGGTTACGAACAAATTTTAAGCACACCAATTTATTACATATTCATAACTTGTATGCGTCAATTGAAACTGATATGGAAGCGCTTATACATGTAATGGCCACGTCTTATTGATTGTGTTTACTAAAATGAACTGAGGAGGAATACTGTTATTGTTTGGCCGCGACCCATTTGACTTTTATATCAACCATACGATATAAGTTACGACCAACGTCTTAAATGCAGTTTCAGAACCCACTGTTATCAGTTACTTTAATTTTATCTTTCCTCCAGGCTGCTAGTTTTATGCTAATATTTATATATATAATTCTTCTGTACTTGTGTATGTCACTGAACTCCATCTAAACGGCAAGATCGATTTTAATGAAATTTTTTGTCTTCAAGTCGATTCGAGAATGATTTAGATTTAAAATTCCGTTTACTACATTTTTTTTTATAAGTTGTTGTCGTGAGTACAGGATAACCTCTGTGGGGTTCGCTAGTATTACTGTATTGTAGTTTGAGAATACATAGATTACATTTGATCAGATTCTTCCTGGTCCTTTATGAGCAAGACTATCGAAGTTGTAAGTTTGTGAAACCCAGTTAGATCTTGATTTTGATAACTTTTTTTTTTTTATGTGAGAAGGTGGCAAACGGGCTGGCGGTTCGAAACGAGATGTTAGATGATAACCGCCGTTCATTGACTGTTTTTTCATTATAGGATAATTATGTAATTATTTTGTGCAGATTCATAAATTATTTTTCATGTTATAAGGTGGCAAACGAACAAGCCTGGTGTTAAGTGATATGCACCGCCCATGGACATTCGCAACACCCGCAGGGTTGCAGATGCGTACCTTTTTATAAAGCGGTTCCCGGCTACCCCGCAAACGAAGAAACGCAGAAGTATAATACTTCTACTTCACGCCGGTCTTCTGCGAATCAAATAAAAGATCAAGATTTCGGCCTCCTTAATCGAATGATTAATAAACACTTGTTAAAAGTTAACCAATCAATCCAAAGTAATTATTGTTCAATAATTCCAACTAAAAGTGTAATTAGTAAATGCCTATCGTAGTTGTAGTTATCTATCATTATTTATAAATAAACTGCAGTTGTTTTATCAATCCTTCTGCAGCGCAATTTTGGTGGTATGAACTTGGAGATTCTTTGTAAGGATGCCTCTAAGATCGATTGGACTACTCTTTTAGGCGCTAATTCGATTGATGACAAGGTTCATATTCTATCAAATAAATTAACGGAACTTTATAATCTGCATGCTCCAGTTCGTCGAATAATAATGAAACAACGTTCTTCACCTTGGCTGACTGAAGACATTAAATCTCTTCTGGCAAAAAAAGCCACAGCAAAAACTAAATTTAAATGTAAACCAACCGAAAACAACTGGGATAAATATGTGACGATTAGAAATCACTGCAATAAGGTTTGTATGGACGCACAACGCCAGCACATTCATACATCTATTCAAAATGGTGATCCAGCTAGAGTCTGGAAGTTTCTTAGGTCAATGGGGATTGGCAAGTCACAGAATGAAACAGCCCTCAAAGATTTAAACATTGATTCACTAAATCAACATTTCTGCGCTTCTTCCAACTTCGATGGAACGATTAAAGATAAGACACTCAAAATTCTTTCATCAAAGCCAACCCCCGACTACGCACCCTTTATTTTTAATCAATTCTCTGCTTGTGATGTTAGGAAGGGTATTCTTTCTATAACCTCTAACGCAGTTGGCAGCGATTGTGTTAGCCGAAAAATGATTCTCCCCATTCTTGATATCATCCTTCCCATTCTGTGCCATATTTTAAACTACTCGATCTCCAAGGGCGTCTTTCCATCTAACTGGAAAGATGCACAAGTTATCCCTCTACCTAAAAAACGCAATCCTTCATCCTTTTCCGATTATCGTCCTATATCTATAATGCCATTTCTATCCAAAGTCTTGAACGCCTTGTTTATAATCAGCTCAGCACCTTCCTACACAATAATTTCCGTCCTAAAAATCCTTTTGCAATCAGGCTTCCGTCGTGGATATAGTACTGCGACAGCGCTAGTAAATATTACAGATGATATCAGAATGGGAATGGAAAACGGTAAGCTAACTGTCCTTGCCCTGCTTGATTTTAGTAATGCTTTCAATACGGTCGATTTTGAGGTTCTAGTTGGAATACTCCAATCCCATAACATATCTCCAACAGTAATTGATTGGTTTCGAAGTTACCTGTATGGACGCCGGCAGCGTATTTGCATTGAAGACACTTTCTCATCTTGGTCTTATACTACTGCTGGTGTACCGCAGGGTGGCGTTTTATCTCCTTTGCTTTTCTCAGTTTTTATAAACTCTATTTCCGCTAACTTAATTTCTTCCTACCACCTTTATGCAGATGATCTTCAAATTTATACTCAAGCTTACCCTCCTGATATTCACTTAGCTATTAACGTGATAAATGAAGATCTCGCCCGAATTTCGAACTGGAGCAGGGAACATGGTTTAACGGTAAATCCCGCGAAAACACAATTTACGGTAATCGGTTCATCGAAAATGTTAAACAAAGTGAATCAGATGCAAACTTCCAATGTTACTCTTGACAGAATTCCAATACCATTAAGCTCAAGAGTAAAAAACTTAGGAATTTACTTTGATAGAAATCTTTCGTGGGGCCCTCACCTACAAGAAATAACTCGCAAGATATTAGCTAGAACGTATTCAAAATGTTTGCATAAGATTCATATTTGGCTTGCGCAAATATGATCATATCTCACATTTCCGTGCTAAGCTCAAGTGGCTGCCTATTCGTCTTCGCCGGAATTCTCACATACTTTATCTTGTTTACAACATTCTGTTTAATCCCTCTTATCCCACCTATCTAAAGGAACTCTTTCATCAATTTCTTTGTGATTCCTGAAAACTCTAAGCACTGAAATCGGAAAAGTTATGAGTAGTTCATTTATGGTGCAAGGGGCGCGACTCTGGAATGACTTACCACTAGAAGTAAGGCGTGCTCAGTCATTAAATATTTTCAAGAATCTTGTAAAAAATCATTACTTATCTCTATAATGTTATTCCCTAACAATGATATATGTATTCGTATATATGGCATGTTACTTACATATTTATAAATATCTATAAATATTATTATGAATTATGATTGTAGATAAGTATTTTTCTTTTTCATTCATTTAGTTAACCCACACCTTTATTCCTAAATTATTTCTTTTTCAATCCATCCAAAGGTTGCCTGGAAGAAATTACTCTTAGTAATAAGGCCGCCCATTGTACCCATTACTTCTACATTAAGTTTTAATTTTTGTTTGTTTTATTTTTGGTGTGCAATAAAGTATATTCATTCATTCATTCATTGTTTTAAAAACAAAATCGTAACGGCAAATAATACTTTACGGTAAAGAAACACAGCTAGGCAACGATGCCTAAGATTTATATCTCTTGGTTAAAAAAGGTTGCCCTGTAAATACTCCCAAGTGGTTTTTAAACCATTCATGTATCGCAATCACCTTGAATGTTGCCAACAGATATCACCAGATTGTAACTATGAAAACAACTTTTAAAGACACGTAACAAGTGCATAGAATATACCACCCGATTCCTTCACAACTCTTAAACCGCAAGTCTATATTCTGTTTAGATCGTATTTCGATGTTAAACTCGATTTAGCCCTGTCTCAAGCCTATAGATCCACTGTCGATTCTATAATTTAGATAAGGACAGAGAAATCGAGAAAAATTCTGTCTTACTATAAAAATTCTACTTTTCCTATTATTATCCTAGAGTTATTATTACAAGACTAATAATGAAATGATACACAAGAGTCATTTTCACTACTTTTATCTTTGCCGTGGAAACGTTCTACATTAAAACTACCTCTTCTATTAAGATTTAAAAACAAGTTGGTATTCTGCAATCACTGGAACTTGCTTTATCGTAATAAGATCATGAATTTTACCTTCACGTACATTAAACACGTAGTTAATAACAGATTTAATTTAGAATGTGCCGGCCACATGACAGACATTCCCCTATGTGATTCGGTTTACACCCGTAGCATAAAGCGTGATTTACGATGTCTCTAAAGTAGTCACATTAAAACCAATACGTAACAAAGTTCCACTTTCATGTTTTACATATGTCGGTCGTTATAATTTAACATCTAGAGTAACATGTATCACTCCTGCGTAAATCGGTTGTTGGCTAGTGTCTGTAAGAACTGTTTACGCGTTTAAATTTAGTGAACGTTACAAGGAAACGCGGAAGAATTTGTTAACACTTGTGTTAATGTATATCATTAGAAGGCTCTGGAGTCATACAAGACAATGTTCGAAGAATGACGACGTGACTAAAACTGTCTAAAAGACAATTATTTAAATAGTAAGCGATTTCAAGTGATGTTTTCACAATTACTTTTAGGCGAGCTAATTGCAAGCAGTTTCGACAAACATTACTGTAGCCATTGTTATGACTTGACCGCGGTTAGGCTTACAGTCCTGTTACTTATCTGCCTGACTATTCGGTAAATAGTTTAAAATTACTTTAAAGTAACTTCCTGGTAAGCTAAGGTCTTTAAACAGAATAAATACATAACAATATTTATTATTATTATCCCAATAGTCGTATCTGCGAATGGATTGCTCCCAGTCAGCCTCTCCGGACATCTGAGGCGACTGGGACTCCGGGACAGAACGCTCCAAGCTCTAATGCAGACAGCGGTGCTCCTCGATACCGCCCGCATCGTCCGCCGGTTTCTCTCCCTTTCACCCTAACCCTCGGCCTTTTGGTCTCCCCTGCCGAGAGCTTCCGTCTGATTGGGTCCTATTTATATATGTATTATATACAATATTTATATCCATATGTCTAATTTTATTCATAATATTTATTTTATATATGCAATATATATATCTATATGTTTATTTTTATCTATAAACCCAACCAGACGAGAAAACAAATAAATATCCCCAATAATAAT